TTCAAAGCAACTTTGGGGCGATGGGAGAAGGCAGAGGGGGATTCCAGCATTTATTAAATGCTCAACTATTGAAAAACATCACCCCTGAAAATTATTTGAATCCTCTTGCTAGACTTTCTTTAGAACCTACTCTAAAAATGTACTGGGGGAAGAATTTTTCTCCACAACAGATCTCAAATAACTGCATTTTATTCAATATTCAAGTGTTTTTCACAGATGTTATTTTCTCATTTCTAGTTAAGTACAATAATATGATTTATACAAGAGACATGTCTGCTTCTTATTTGATTCTTCAAATCCATAATGAATATGGTAAAATGTGAGTCACACCTTTCCAGGTGTTGAGAAGAGTAAAAGTTCTCCATGTTCCCATTCAAAATATGAACATTGTCACTCCTAATCATTCCTGACATCATATTATATTTATGTTAGCTTATGTGGGGAATTTGTTGGCATCTGTTTTAGGTAACTGTAGGAAAAATATAGTTTTAGTGTAAGAAAGTAAAAATATAGTTAAAAGTAAGAAATCATTCTGTATGGAAATGGTCAGAACTGTCAGAATATTTATATCAGATGGATATTTGATATTTCTTAGAAACAAGATTGATTAGAACCCTACTGCCTATTTCTTGAGGCAAACAGAGTTGTTCATGACTAGACATTTGAATCAAACCCCCAGGGTTTTGATCTCTTATCTCTATATATTTTATTCCTATATATTATAAAGGTCATCCAATTGGATTTCCTTTAAAAAAAGCAAACCTAGAGTTTCACCTGGTGGTTCTTATTGTTTCAAGCTGTGCATTAGTCATTAGCCTTATCAATAAATGCTTGGAGTCAAAGTGGCAGGTAAGATATCCAAGTTTAGACTCCGGAAACTGAAGCTTTAAATCATATGGATCACAAACACATATAGAAGTCCAGAAATGACACATGTATAGAAAACACACAGTTTGAAGTCCACACATATCCTACTCAATCCTGTGAGCAGAGAAATTGTTAAATAGATATTTTATTTGGTGATTAACAACAGTAAAGTACAACAACCCATTTTCCACATAGCACAGAGCATCCCATTTCAGAATTCGAAGTCTTCACATCCCAATGTCGCTCAGTTATTGATGGTGGAGAGTGAAGGAGAAGGAACAAAAGATTTAATTTCAGGATTTCCTCACAGCTGCCCCTAGTTCATCTGAAAGTATTTAAACTCAGAGATTCAAAACAGGGTGAGGCAGAGCACAAATGGCAGGGAGAGTTGGGTGTGGTCAGTGCCCTTCTTCCAGCCAGTACCCTTCTCTGTATTACCTGGGCCAATGTCTGGTGCCATTTTAGGGATCCAACTCGAGGACACCTTGGGCAGATCCACCCCAAACATTTACAGAGCCCAGGGCCAAAGTATTAATGGAGGGCCACTTGTCATGTGCCTAAATATTTGGAAATTACACATTAAGCTAACAGAGTGCTTATGAATAAAATATCCAATTTGGCTACTTTGACACATATGTTTTCATTGCTGTTGAAAGCCCAGAAATAGGTTTAGAATCCTTACACCGCTCAAGATCAATATCTCCCTTCCACACCTCAACCCTGCCTCTTCCAGGCCCATGTTCTGGTGCTCTGGGTTTCACTTGAAGAGGGTCTCTCCTTGGTCACATGTGCATTCCTCAGGGAATACTCTAGGCCTGGGCACTAAACGACTTTTTGCCACCCCTCACGTCCAGGGTGTGCAATCATGATGTTGCCTACTTTTAGGAGCGTGGACCTCCAGAGGAAGCTCACAATGCCCAAAAAGTGGATGGAGGATACCTGGGTAGGCTAAGTGACTGGGACAAAGCTTGAGGAAGGTGAGTCTGGGCTCCTCTAAGCAAGSGTCCCTCTTTGCCAGGACTTAGCAAACTTGGGTTCTCCCTAAGGCCATGTACAGGGTCTGAAATGAATCATTACCATATCACAGCAGGGAAGATTCGTTATTTTTTCTATAAATAGCAACACTTTCTATATAGCTGAACCTTTGTCCCATTTTTTTTGAAATTTTATATTCATCAGTACTATTGATAGAATCGTGTTTTCACTATGTGAAACTGTTAACAGATGAACTCATACGCAAAACTATATTATCCCACCACTATGTACCTATCCAAGTAGAAACAGCAAGAACTAGGATCTAAGATGGAGGGAAAACTCTGTATCCTCTCTTTATCCCAACCTTGTTCTTGGGACATAAAACTGTAGATGAAAACAGATTTGAAAGGATGCTAGAAAGCAGCAGATAAGTAAAATCCAGTAAGTTGGGGTTTCTTCAAAGGAATAGGCTTTTCAAAAGAACGTGGGAATCCAGATTAAAAAGAACATTCCWTTTCCATTTGTTATATACCTAAAAGTGAAATTTTTATTAAAGGCAGATCACATCACTTCAGGATATTCAGAAAACTACATCTAAATACACTGAACACAAGATATTCCTCACCAATTTAGATTCTTATACTCTCATAAAGATAAATGCAGATGAATTGATTTAGATCAGACCTTCATTAAATTTTAGAATTAGCTTTTGGAATCCCACATATTGAATTGTGCAGTGTCTGATTCCTGAGCATTGTGACAAAGCCATCAGTGGATAATGATAAAGTGCATCATTGCCAGAAATAACACAGTCTGCCTTTGGTTTGTGCTAATAAAGTATAAGACAACTTAAATTCCAATTTTAATATTAGAAATCCACCTCATTATAAGTAATCTCAAACTCTGTATGCTAGCAGAATTTTCATGTGTATTCTTTGGTGAGCCTGAAATATAATTTTCTGTTTATGCTTCTAATGTAAATCTCCAATTTCTGGTTGGCCACTCTGGCACTAAGCCAAAGCTCTAATTTATTTCCATCTTTTCTTATTTCTTCTATCAAAAGAGACTGTTGGTTTGAATAACAAACATTCAATCGACTTAGACATGGGGTGGCAGGCAGGACAGGCATTACCTGTTTACCTTTTATTGCCTTTTTTGAATTGGCTTTTCTGGGAACAAAACCAATAAGACATGCTGTTCCTTCATCTAGTTTTGACTCAGGTTATTTATCAGAAAAACGTTCCCTGTTTCGCAAGGAGTGGCAGCAGAGTTAAGAATCGAGAGACTGGACCTAACACTGCCGTAGGTTATTGCTCTACCAAGTCATGTAGGACTTCATTGTCCTCAAGACTCAGGGCTGATAATTGTTTTTGATTCCAGGAGGTGCTGCTGCTAACACATCTGAAACCCGCAGGACAACAGTGTGCCATGAATGGAATCCGCACTGTTTGAGCCTCTTGGAACCTTTGCAGAGGTTCTTCCCCACCTGCCTCTACTTGCTGTCTTGCACAGTAATTGGCCTAATAAAAGGCAGAAACAAGAATTTATTACACCTTGGGTGGTACTTAAAGCAAACTTTATTCTCAGAAACAGCAGTTATGTCTAGTTGCTGCTGTATATTTTGATATTTCATTTAAATACTTAGTCTGAATATATTCAAAGTCAAATTGCTAATCACTCAATTTCCCTGCGACTGTCCTGGTTCCCCAGGTGGCCTCTTATGATACTCCATGTAAACACTGTATTTGGAAAGATACATAGATCAGCATCCCTAGAGTCACATGATCACCATCAATCTGAAAATAGCATGACTCAAGAATAAAAGTCTCTCAGTACTCTGCCAACAGGCTTTGGCATAATCTTGGCAATCACTTAGATATTTTTCTTTCTTTTCTATTTATTTATTTATTTACTTTTTTTTTTTTTGCTGTTATAATTTTTCCCAAGTGGCAATAGTCTCATATTTTGTAGAAGTTGTCCAGGCTAGTGAACATCAATCCGTCTTCCTGGGTACTAAATTCATCAGTTGAATGTGCTCAGTCCACACAGATATCAGTAAAAGTGAGTGTGAAACTGCTTGGTGGCTGTTCCTTTCATCTTAAGAAATCGCAATACAAATTCCTGAAATTGTTTATGCAGGAATTTTTATTCTTTAAATCTTCCAGTGTTAAAGCAACAAGAAAACATTTAGAATGTCCTTTGGTGGAATCTTATTACACTTGTTATATATGTAAACGGATATTCTTTGATGCCAGCACGTTCGTTGCCCTTACAGAGAAATCTCTGCACAATGAAACAAAACAGAACGAAAGAGGACAAAATAAAATGTCAGTCTTTGCTGATTCGAATCAGATACATTAACAGATTGTCTGGTAACACAAATCGGCAATAATACAAAAAATCTACATATTACAGTATTTCAAGAAAAATAACTTCATTTGAATACAAAAGGATAGATACACTTTCTGTTCTCCTATAGCCACTCTTGTGTAGTGGGTATGAGCTCGCACTGGGTGACTCAGTGCTGCTAAGATATACAGRGGTATGACTGGCTTGCGCTTCTGGAGGGGGCTGTTACACGTGTGCGTCACTAACATCAGACAAAGAAATCTTTCAACCAACAAGGGTTACAGAGCAACGTTCACTAAAGCACAGGTTGGAAGGGATTCAGGGAGTGAAGCAGGCCAATATGGCAGCTTGTAACAGATTTCCTTATACCCACAATGCACCTGACAGCAAAGAATGCTTCTATTTGGTTGGTCCACACACTGGGCAGAGCGGTACGAGGGCGCACCACGATAGAGTAGCAAATGTTTTTAGGTTTTTTTTTTTTTTTTTTTTTTTTTGTCTTTCCTGTTGGGGGGGAGGGGCTGTCACAGCCTTTCCAATCCGCAGTAAGCTTTGCAGCTGGCGATGTGATTTGCAGTGATAATATCAACAGCTGCCAACTCCTCTGGAGTCACAAATGAACAGTCTTGACTCCGATGTGCTGTCCACGTCTGAGAAATATGGCTTAGTTCAGTTAGGCCTTCTTAGTTTGTACGCTGTGTTTTTGAGTGGGGGGTGTGTTTCTGTTTCCTATGTTAGTAGCAAATGCTTTGCTTGGGKTGTGTTTGCTTCCCCAGGGCACAGGCCTGTCCGGTGGCTGGAGGCGACATCTAGAACAGCAGGGGGCTGGCTGTTCCCAGCAGCGCGGTCAGCAGCAGTAGCAGCAGCAGCGCTAGGGAACCCTGCGGGGGCGCCCCCTGGCTGGAGTCGGAGCCACAGCTACCCGCCTCTTCACACCGCAGCTTCTCGCAGAGGATGCCAGTGTATGCAGCCGGGCACAGGCAGCGCACGTTGTTGTGGCACGTCCCCCCGTTCTGGCAGTGCAGGAGCTCATTGTCGCAGACATTCGCTGCAGAATGAGGGGGAGGGTGGGGGGAGGTGCGGGGAGAAGAGGCAGAATCAATTTAAGTTCATCTGGTACATCATGTTTTCAGCTTTAAAAAGGAAAAAAAAAACACACTAAAAAACTCCATCGATCTTGTGCTCCCCCCTCCCCTTCACAAACTAAGCATGTGACTCCAATTTTCCAAACAAATGTAGTTTGCTGCCTTTGTTTTTATCATATTAGTCCTTTTCGTATAGATTTTTGCTGCAATCTTGGATATTATCATTGTCCATTTCAGGCTATTGAATGCAAAAACAATACAACATTCCTGGTTTGGCAGTTATCTTCTCTTCATGGAACTGGGACCTGTTGTGACCTCCTGGGTTTTTAAAGGACAAGTGCTGGATACAAGAATGCAGAGCTTTGAAGCCAGATGAGTGGTATTTAGAATGCAAAGCAGTATTGCTAAAGTGACCAAGAACCTCTGGGGAGTGGGCCATTCTCCCCACTTCTTATTCCAGCAGCTGCACATGCAGACAGAGCCCTGGGGAAGCATGGGGATGAGGGTTGGGGATGTAGTGAAAGTACATGCTCCAGGCAAGCAGCAGCCAGATGGGAAGAGGGAAAGCTTGTTTCATGGGAGGGGTGTGAGGAAGAGCAGTCACTTTTGTCCCTGACAGCCTATTAGGATTTTTATCACCTTGTAAATATGGGAAGTGGAGCCCAAGGTTACCTTGTTTTCTGGGAATAGTAATAAATGCAATGGTGAAACCCTGATTACCAAAATTTCATTTCATCCATCAAGTAATAGAATCAGTTTGAATAAAACCAGCCAAGCTTTTTGATACTAAAATTCATTCACAGTCTTTGTCATGTAACTTTACCTCTAATAATTTCTTATATCTTGAAAGCTCTAGTTATTCTCATTAATCCTATGTCTCATATTCCTTTAGATAATCAAGGTTTCACTGATTTAGCAGAATGTTAAATAGAACCCAGGGAAATTAACACAACAACAACGAATAAAAGAGCCAAGAACCCTTCCCAGCAACAAATGCTGCTTAAGCACTTAACATATAGACCACTCTGGACTGAGGGGTGAGGGGCAGGTGGGGGCAGAGCAGAAAAAGCAGCTTTTTATAAATTATAACATTCTTTTTTCATTTAACAAACTGTCATGGTCAAATTTCCCCAGAGATGCCACATGAGTTAACTATACACACACGCGTGTGAACACACACACACACACACACACACACACACACTGATCTAATGTTGCTATTAAGTGCAAACTGGGTTTTCTTTCTTTTTTTCTTTTTTCTTTTTTGCAGACTGGTTTTTAAAGGTAATCTCAACCCTTTAAGTAATAACTCAATAGCGAATGTCGCATTGTCCTTTAATCATGTTCAATAGTCCTGTCACCTTCAAAAGAAGCTTCTTACTCACAAACATGCTAATGTTCTGTGTGCAAATGAACTGACAAAAGGTGGCAGTGGGTAACCACAGAGCTAAAAACAAAGTGCCCTCAATAGGACCCTGTTTGATCCCCTTCTTCAACAGCTTCTTTGTGACCTCTAAGACAGTTGCATAATGATAGGTAAAACTTTCAAATGTATCCACACTTACTATTTGTAACTGACTATTAAATTCTTGAACGATACAAAAAAAAAAAAAAAACCAGCAGTGACCCATGGGTTCTTTTGACCATATAAGCTACCTCTCATTGGCTGGCTTAGAAATAATAAATATTAGACCCAAATTATAATATTTTAAGAATCATAGTTATAAATGTCAAGATCTGTAGCAAAGTCTCCATGTATGGTGTGGTTAGCCCAATGGAAAAAACTGACAAAAGTCATCGTTTTTTCGGATGTTGTTAATCTGGAAAGCATACATAGGGTTTTAGGATTTTGTTTTGCTTACACTTTAAGAACTATCTACTTAATTGGGGCAACATGGAATAAACAGATGCAAATAACTGTTTCCCTTTAAAGATTCTCAGTGCTCTTGTTCTGGGCAGCAGATTGCTGAATGGGATACTTCCTTTCATTTGGGTACTTGATGTAGGAAAATATCTGCTCCATCAATATCGATAATTGCTTGCCTTGAATAATTGAGAAGAAATCAATAGTTAATTAAATATCACTCCTCTTTTTTTAAAAAAGCAATTTTTCTTCTTCTTGGAATTGAATGTAAATTAGTTGTTGAGCAGAGGTTTATTTTTTTCTCTTTTTTTGAGAAGCTGGTGATTAAGTCAAAATGCAATACCTTCCCTACATTTACTAGTTGATTTTGATGGTTGGGAGAAATTTGATAAATATTGGAGGAACAGATGTAGCCCAGGATTAATCATCTCATAGATTGGGTAATATGTTTTCTATAGCATATAAATAGAATTGTTCTCCCCTGTGATACTGGGTATCAAACTCAGGGTCTCACACTTGTTAGGCAAGTGTTAAGAACTTTACTACTGAACTACAATCCCAGTCCAAAAATAAATAAATAAAATGAAACATAGAATATATTTATTACTTTAGAATTCACTATAAAACATTTCATTTCTTGATTGAATGTTCCTCTTAAAGTTCAACACCTGCAGAGCTTTACTGTATGCACAGCTTCTGTGTTGAAATCACACACTAGAAGCACACTTAAACCTAAGTACATCTCTTACCTGGATTTTTTAACCCCCTGCTCCATCCTCATGTCATTTTGTACCAAATTTGTGTTGGTTAATACATAAAATCAGTGGTTAAATATCACTGAGTTCTTCCTTAGCATTTAAAACCTGTACTAAATATCATGAAGAAATTTAAATTAAATATCAGCATTTAAAACCTGTACTAAATATCATACAAAGCATAATCTCTGCTTTTAGGGAAATCACCTTGGTTGGGAGGATAAAATATGTATATAAGAAATGGCCTAATATTAGCTTCATTAAAATGCCTTTATCAGTTCCATCCAGCTCAACCAATGTCTATTTTGTGCCAGGCATCCTGCTAAATTTTATGGTTGTAATTCTAACTGCCCTAAAGGAGCTCACCGTTTGGTGGAAAATAAACAAACATAAACAGAGATATTATGATGTGATAAAAAAAAAGAATTCAAAGGAAGTACTTGCAAACTTCTAGGGGAACTCAAATGATGGTATAAATAATTGCTTTGGGAGAGATTGGGGAAGATTATATAAAAATTATATTTGAATAAAGATGTGCATCAGGTGGATACAGGTAGAAAGAGCATATGAATGGGGATATTGTATGAGTAAACGCAAGGAGATGTCAAAGTGCTTTAATAGGTGTTAAACAGTGGTCTCTGAATTCTAAATCCACCCTTCTGATGTTGAAACCAGCACCCTATAGGTGTCTGCTGGAGGGAATATAGAAGGAAGGAGGAATGAGGACATTTCCTTGATCCTATTTGATAGCTCTTCCTAACAAGTACTGCCCCAGTAATGGCCCTTCATGACAACAGCAGCATTTGGTTCCCGGTGCTCAGTTATATTCAGAAATGGTTTCATTTCACTCTTGAAAATTCTGGGACAAGCCTAACAGCAACCCTTTCCCAGAGGCTTGAGCCCCAGTCTCAACGGGCCTCTGCTCATCATTTCAAAGGTACAGACAGCAGCCAGATATTATCCCTCCCCAGAGGTGCAGTACTCATGTTTATGATGTCTCTTGTCCAAACCTTTACTTTTTGAAAACCCCATCCTCCTTCCTGTAATCCCTCAACCCAGAGTGTAATTCTCTGCCTGTGTGAGCAGTTACTGTCTCAAAGTTATTTTAGATGTCCTATTGTCATTTTTAGATCCTCAGACACTTGTCTACCCATTTCCTTTAATAAATTTCCTCTGTTGAAATACCTAGCATGGTTTCAGTTTTCTAATAGGAGCCTGACTGAGGGATATGTGGAACATATTAGTGAACCATGATTGCATTATAGCTAGAATGCTGAATGTGTATAAGGAAAATGGAGATGAGAGTAACAGGTTGCACCCATAAAATGTTCTGAACATTTTATGTAATAACACTGCAGAGTTTAGATAATAGGCAATGAAGATCTGTCAAGACCTGTCATGATCAGGGTCTAAATGGAAAAAGGAGAGGCTAGACCAGAAGAGGACAGACTGGAGGTAAGGAAACTTTCAGCAAAATTGAATGGGGTAGGTTAGAGCAATTGGGAGAGGAAAAAAGGATCAGATTTAGAGACAACTTATGTGAAAAGGTAAGATAAATTTTATGACTCTTGTTTTAAGCATGTGGATGTATCAGAAAGAAACTTATTAAGAAAGAAGATAGATAGGAGGAAGAGTTTTTTTTTTCTTTTGAAAAGAAAAGAACTTTTTGGGGACCTATTGACTTTGAGGGGCCTAGGTTCTTCTGCAGGTGTTTTGCTATTAGTTGCAAAAACTCCTTAATGACCTTTGACCTTTTTTCCAGTCAGGAAATTGTTCATCCTGGAGATACAGATGTGGAGCAGCAGAGGTAGTAATCATTGTTACAAAACATCAAAAGAAGTAGAATACTTCATGCTGAGAGACTATAGACCAAGTAAATGAGGACTGCAGCCAAACATGGAAGAATATCAGCATCTAAGAGCAAGCAAGACTGTGATAGATGCAGAGGTCTTTACTGATAACATTAAATATTACACCTTCTAGAATTCTATCACATTATGACAAAGTTCCAAATACAGATCAGCTCATGCAGAAAATAAAACCAGGATGGGGATGGCAATTATGTTGACCATCTATACTATACTTTCCTCTCACCCCAGCCCCCATACACTGGAAATTGTTATGGTTTAACTGTTTGTCCCCTCCAAAACTCATGATGGAATTTAGTTATAGTTTTAATAGTATTAAGCAGTGGGACCTTTAAGAGGTATCCTCATGAATGAACAGAAGCCAGCATCATGAGAATGGGTTTGCAAGAAGGAAGGATCTCTCTTGCACTCTCTCTCTCTCTCTGTGCTTTCAGCATTCTCTTTCCACCATGTTTTGATATAGTAAGAAGGCCTTC